ACTGTTTGGTTCAATTTTAAGGTGCCCCACGAGCATCGGGTCCCACCGATAGTACTCGATTAGAAGTTCCACAAACTCGGCGTCGTAAATTTCCATCCCCTCCGATATTTTTCTGCTACTAGATGCTTCCCCACTCCTCGTTGATGAAGCCATATCGAAAAAGAAAAATGTACAAGAAAGATATTACGATATAACGAAAATTGAAATTGCAACTTACCCTCAAACTAGCAAGCAAGATGAAGTTGGTGACGAAAATTGATTAAGCGCAATAAAGTTAAGAGAACTTGATAAGCAACAATAGCTAAGATCGCAGATAAAGAAAGGAAGGTGAAAACCTAATCGAATTCCAAGTCCCAGTTTTATACCTATCGATTATAACCGTTACTGTGCAAATTGGGGGCGCGTGAACCCACACGCAGCCCTCTCAAACAACGCGATATTTCACTTTTTGGTCTCTGCCTAGTCATGTTGTTCCACGTGTCAACCTACGTATTTATCCGTTACACACCTTCAATGCTAGCGCGTCTTTTCGTGAACCGTCGCTTTAAAGACCTTTGTCCATGACCGTTGCATCGTTTCGTTGCATATTTTCATTAAGGGAAATAAACTCCAATTTCGCTAAGTGTTGGCACGTCGGAATACAATGACAGTAAAGAGAACCGATGTGAGAGTTCATTCCCAAGTCGGATTCATAAAATTTTTCGACGATGCCAGCAGCTATCACTTCCGTATACCCACTAGCGTCGGGGGCCTCTCTGTTGACTATCGACTTGGTAATTCGAATATAATTCCGAATAAAGAAGGGTTACAAATAGTATAACCGTAATGCGTACGGTTTAAGATAAAGAGGACACACGTCAGATGGCCTCAGAAGCTCTTTTTCTTTGCACATGACACGAAACCTCGGAATTGCGCCTTCCCACCGACGTGACGAACTGACGGAACCCACTTGCCCTCATCGACATCACGCTCCTACAGACTTCCTATGCTTTTCCGACATGACCGACTTCCCAAAACCTCACCATTATCTACCGACACCACAACCCACTTCGACCCACCTTGGAGGTAACCGAGTTCATCAATATCCAAAGCAGGTGAAAAGGCGCCTACGCGACCTCCTTACGTCTCGCGCCCGATGTCATGATGATTGTGGGCCCAACTGACCAAACGCCCATTTAAAGCTACTTTTCGAGCAAATCCTGAATGATTGGAGATCTCGAATAATGTGTACAAAAAAGTTACTATATATAGTTTAAAGTTCCCTTACTGAAGGGGGACGACACTTTGGTACTATTTTCACACCGGTCAAAAACACACCGACCATTTACTGATCAATAAAATTCCCCTTTTTAATCAATAGTCAGAGCTTTAATCCATGTCGTAAATCTGTCTCTTATGTTGTTACGAATCCATACGACAATAAAACAATGTAAACTATAAAAAGTGAGGTGGCATTTTTTTTTCTTAAAAAAAAGTGAGATGTAGCTATTGACGTGTGTTTGCGCCGAGGCCATCGAGGCGATAATTTTGTAATTATGTGGTATTTAAGGTTTTTAGGGTTGATTTTAACGTGGTTACAACGAAAACAAAGAAGAATATATAGCTCGTATCTGTCAATGAATTAAGACACTTGAACCTACAACGTTTATTAGGATTGGCTGCTCGAGCCTCTTGTATACAAAGCCTTTAAAAGGCTGTAGGAATCAAAAGTGCCAATGAAAGCTAAAAGAGAAAATCTAGAACAAAGCTTCTTCTATTTAGAGGGTATTTTTTTAAGTATAGTTTGATGATTTTCAAGGTCTCCGGACGCCTCCTTTTATAGAAGAGGAAATCTTCAAAACATTACTTCTTCAGGACAGGTGTTGGCTTCTGATTGGATACATAGTGACACACTCGGTAGTTTGAGCAAGTGGCTTATCTCTTTAGACGGTGAAAGTTGGTTCATGGTGGTAACCCTTTTCACATTGGCTTAGGATCGTGCTCGAATGGGACGAGATCCGCTGAGGACATCCTTTCTTCTGGAAGATATGTATGTCTTGTAGTTGGGAACGAGATCGGTCTATTAGTGAATGATATCTTCGAGATCGACGTCCTTCCTTCTGACTTGTTGGACTGGTGATGGAGTCATAGTTATTCTAGAGGTCTTTATATTAGGTCAGACAAGCTGGTGTATCAACATAAGGCCCCTAGGTTTCTAGGGCCAGGTGAGAATTTTGCCTGATCGTAGGAAGCTATGTGTATTTCTCTTAAGTGGGATTGACTTCAAACGTTTGGAAGCGGGTACTCTGAAGGGTCAACTCTGGGTTTTTTATTTGGGGAAAAGAGGTTGCATCTTTTAAATTCCGAGTATGGTAATTGTTGATGCTTCTCCTAGATCTGGATCGAACCAGTGAGAATAAGCTCTGATCTGCCTGAGCCGCACGAATGGCTGCAGAACTCAACGCCGGAGGAGTTTCCAGCAAAGAGCCTCTGATGCTTAAGTCAGTACCAGGAGGATGATGACGCTCTGTGAATAAGAGCAGTATAAAATGTATGGAGAATGTAAAGTTATGATTTGGTGATACCTCATCCCCTTTTATAGGGAAATACCTGCCCGAAATGTCTTGCCCAGGTGCCTGTGGGCAGCCTTCCCGGCTGCCCAAATTTTATTACTTATCCATATCCTAATTAATCATCTTCTAGTCAGATCCTAGTCATCTTAAGATTCATCCTTATCCCTTTAAAATTCACCCTTATCCCTTAATCTTGCTAAGTCTCGAGGCACGATCTTCTTTAAAGGGTATATACCTTAAGTTGCGAGGCGAGTAAAGTTGTCCTTGAGGTGATGGTGTTAACTTAACCACTATCTTGAGATATAATCATGTAGTCTTCTCGGGTAGAGCCATGAGCAGATCGCTATCCTCCATACTTCTCTTAGTTCGTCGTCGCGGTCCTCGAGTCACTAATTATCTCTCGTGTTGCTTGTGGTGATCTAGTCTTCAACTCGGTGGTACTTTGGGATTTTCTGTATCACATGTAGTTGTCTTCAGGTTGGTTTTTGGATAGGTCGTTCGTTTCTTAGGTCGTCATCTCTCAGGTTGACCACCTTCCCAGGTCGACCTGCTTGGCTCATCTTTCAATCCGGTTGAGCTTTCAGCCCTTAACCCGATTTACACAAGTATGGTTATATCAATAATAATGGTGACTTGAGTTTTAACCATGGATTGAGTTTAGTACAATACTATAATAAAGTTTAAATGAGTTTGAACCATGGATTGTACTTGGACTCATTGTCATCGAGACATGTTTCAACATTTTTGTAAAGATAAGAATGGCCATGGACAAGTAGAAAAATTTGTTTAGGTGTAATAGTTTATTTACAATTTTCTAAAAGAAAAAGTACTGTCTTGTAAATATAATAAAATTTTTAGAAGAACATAACTAACTAGTTATACAATTAAAGATGGTTAAAAAATGGGGTTACAATTATTGTAGATGGATAGGTCTTTAATTAGATCGGTCTAACCATTGGCTCGGCATACATTTTTTTATAAATACACATACCTTCATTAATAAATGTCATACTTTAAAAAATATAGTAAAACGAAGTATGACAAACTATGATATTCATCTTTAATAGTATAAGTATGTAATTTTTTTATAGAGTATGACAGGTCCATCCTCCTAACAGTTAAACTACCCCACACAATAATTTGTCGCCGTATAATTGTCAATAAAACAATCTATGTTTTAGTTTATTAAGAAATTATATTCCCTCCCACCCATGTTAATAAAAGAAGGATTACGGAATACATTTTCTTAATACCCCTATATATAAATGCAGAATATCTCAATCGCATGTGTTGATTTCTAGTGTACTAATCTTATGTGTCAATTTCAAGTGATAGTGCATGTAGATCCAAATTCTATCTATACCTATTGGTACTTTTAAACTATAGAATACTTCACTAATTTAAATTATAAATATATTTGAAAGACTTTTGTATTAATTTATTAATATTTTTAAATATATAATATTTTATATAATAAAAGTTATATATAAGAACTTTGTTAATTAAATGATGTAGCGCAGTGTTAAACGAAAGGAACAAAAGATAAAATCTCAAGCAGATAATTTTCTATTCAACACGTCTGCTCGTTCAAGTCGCAACCAAGAGAATAAATTAAATAGACTCCTAATCCTATTAAATTTCTAACTTGCTAAATAAGTCATTATTCTAAAAGATAATTATTTTCCTAACAAGATTAACTA